TTCAAGTTCTCATTGCTCAAAAACATCATATTTTGTTTGCTTTTCCTCATTTAGAATACGATGTGTTATGCAAGTCTGCTCATTATCGTTTTCAATGTGATCTTGCTTGGATAATAAATCATTGCCATTTCGGGGAAATACTCAACTCTGGTCAAATCTGGGTTAAACCTTCTATACAGAATTATACAAGGTTTGGTACGTTTTTTAACAAAACGGCTACCGTCTTTAAGAGGTATGATAACCCCGCTTTCTGGTAAATTATCGTCTTCCCTCTCTTCTTCTTCATGATCACTGTCTTGTGCTCTTCTACTAGATTTAAAATATTTATACACAGATACAAAAGCAGCTAAACAAAGAGTTTCTAACTGATCGGATCTTTGAACATAACGGTATTAAATACCGGCTACAAATATTTCATTCGAACCTGAAGGAAGGTTCTGAAGTTCCGCTCTAGGTTTTACCATTCGAACACGTTTCTCAGGTCGAGAGGTATTTATAAATATTTCTGCATTACTTGCTTCTGAAAGATGGAGCCCAATGCAGCAATATACCGCTTCTTGTGCAGATATTTCTGTGTCCGATATAAATTTGTGACCTATATGTTTAAGTCTTAACAGTATAATTTCCAGCATTTACCTCTGATATATGTAGCTTCATNTCACGCTCCTCTCTCCTTATTTCAAGATTTCTTCTTGCATGTTATCTTTGCATTTAGAGAAGGATTTATCGCGCGAAGTTCTCTATGATCCCTAGTGTTCCTACTTAGCTTATCATAACGTACCTCGGGATCTTCTCGACGAGATCTATGACCCCGAGTATCTCTTATCTGCTCTTCAGAGCGAATTTCTTGCCGCATTGTTCTATGTTGAACAGTATTTACAACTTGCTCAACATATCGAACCTCGGGATTTTCGCGCCGAAATCTATGTCCCCGAGTATATCTGACTCTTCAGAGCGGATTTGGGGACTTAGACGTCTTGCCCTATGTTGAACAATATTTAAATTTTGTTCAAAAGACCGTACTTCGAGATTTTCCCGCCTGGTTCTATGTTGATTTGTATTGATATTTTGTTCGGGCAGACGTACATCGGAATCTAGTCTACGATAAGCGTGACTTACAGTATCTTGTGACTGCCCACTATCGCTATATAAGGAGTTTGCACGAAGAACTCTCATACGTCTTCTGGTCTGAAGGCGACTTAGTAATACAGATTTTCTACTTAATCTAGGCATAATTAATAAAAAATAAATGGGTTAATTTGTAAAATACTTATATATAATACTTATATAATTCCGTCCGTCCGGGTGCGAAAAGTTGGATCCCAGGTGCTGCTCTCTTTTACTGTAATTGAGTCCTTGCTTTGACTCCTTTCAAGTTTGGTGTATAGGTACATAGGTAGGGTATACTGGTGCACATATGTATATGTGTTCGCTCGCCACTGTATATAATAATAGTTTAAACACTATATAACTAATACACTTAAATAAGTTTGAAGAAAGTACTTTGCTGGTTAAAAAATCTAGTGTAACTGAGGCTACAAACACAGTGTACTGATATTTGTTATACTCTTGCAACATGTTGCTACAGAGTATAATAGTTTTGTTATGGTATAATAATACATAATATTTAGTTATATTTATATTTTAGAATTTAGTAATTTATTTCATTGTATTGAAATTACGTGCTCGGAAAACCCCTCCGTAAATTGCTTTTGTCTACCGCTTTTTAAAACAGGGGGATCTATGTTACCCATTTTGAAAGGTCTGCCCATGAAGGCTTAAGTAACAAAAACATAGATATGAAGGGTATATACATATTTAGAGCAGGTATGTAGCTTGTTTTCTTTCTGATTTAATATATAATATAAACCTTTCATAAGCAACCAACGGCGCTGGGTACAAATTTAATTTTTTTAATTTACAGTTCACCTCATGATCTTCATATTAAAATGTGTCCCAAAACTGAAATAAAAAACAGTAGCATTTAAACCGATACACTACTAATATTGGTGCAAACAACCGTTTGGTGAACAAAATTATACTCTGTTGCAACATGTTGCGAAAGTATAAAAATGTTGCGAAAGAATTCAACATTCATTATCAGATTAATACTTGGTATCTTATTAACTTATGTTATTGATCATATATTTAGTATTTTAGATAGATAATATTTTTTTTCTCCGAAATGTTAGCTTTAATAAAAAGAAGCTATTTAACTCAAACCTGCTATATTTGATGTATAAACTGAACCAAAGGGGTTAGATTTAATATGTGGGATATAAGAGGATGCTGTTGAAACCGAGCAGCGGAAATCAGTATATTAGGGTTATAAGGTTTAAACAAAGGTCTTGACCAATTTCATTCAATTATCAAATTAAAAAATTATACCATAAGTAGTACATGTGATCTGGGGATATTCATAGTCCGATTTCACACATTTTCGGCTTTAAACTATCGTATATCTTATCGTATATCGTAGGGTCAATATATCCCCGATAATGGATACTAGGGCGGAACCCGATTCGCAAGAATCAAAGGTCAGGAAATTCCTTCAAACCTTATATTAAAAAAATTTTGAGAAATAATTAAACATCCATTATTAAATGAAATCGTGATTAAATTACAATCAAATTTGGTATCTTCTTGATTTATATTAAAGGCCATATAGTTAGTCTCAGTTTTATTCCTATATTTTAGTTCCCATCAACGAAAATTATATATAAAAAAAACAGCTTGAAGTGCGATATACATAAGTATGAATATAAAGTTAATTCTACCAATGTGGCTAAATTTTATATTATAAGCTTATGTGGAAAACGTCAACCAGAGAATCGGAATTCATTATATGAACGTGTGAGGTTTAGACCCAGGTATGTACTAATTTCATTCTAATTAAGCGTCAAACCCATAATTTTTAAGAAATCTTATCCACTTAATTTCGTTAAAATATCACATTTTGATCATCCGGAACGGTTTAAAGTGAAAGATATTAATTTTTACATTGCTCAGCTATACTCGAGAACATATTTTGAAGCAAATTTATATTATATATAAAAAAATGTTAATACTCACTGATCGACATATTTGGCATAAAACTGGTTAGAATAACGAAAAGCTTTATAAGTAGTATATGGAAGTTGAGGGTATTATTAACACGATTTTACCAATTTTTGCCAATACCACATTCTACTAACATTCCACAGACTAATAAAATCCTCCAACTGTTTCATAAAGGTACTTCACATACCATCACCAATCAAATGGAGTAAAGTCAGACAAATGTTCGAAAATTCTGATATAAGTTACTAAGTAAAATTTTCACATGATTTGATCCATTTTAGGCACAAAGATACCTCGTTATGAGTAAAACACGTTTTCTCATTTTAATTGAGATAACTCACATATTGGCCGATATATGCAGTATAAAGTCACTCGGAAATTCAAATATCGTTATATTAGGTATATGAAGGCTATAAGTAGTATTGATCCAATTCAAACCATTTTTTGACACAAACATACTATTATCGAGAGTTTCATTTATTTATTATTTTATTATGCGAATTTCATTTACAATATATATCTCACACATTGATCGATATTTTCGGTTAGTAGTCAACTATAGGCACTGGGGTCCACATATTCAGTACCTAGGGGCTTGAACAGTTTTGATTCAATTTAGACAATTTTTGGTCCCAAGATGGCATACTTTAAATGCAAAATTCGCGCAAATTTTTACCCCGATACAATCTTTGTTGCTTGATTTGCATACTGGAAAGTGAAAGAATCAGATTTAACTTAAATGTGTTATATGGGAAATAAGAGTGATTGTAATCTTTGCCCATTTTCACTATCTATAACATAGAAATATAAGAACGACACATAACGAATTTGGTTGAAATCGGTTAAGCAGATCCCAAGATTTACGCTTTCACCTAACGTCTACTGTATAATTTTGAATGTGCATCCTTAAAGTCTTCATAACCATTGCAGAGATGTCTCTGGCGTGTTTAGTGCTTGATTTATAGCGCTTTTAGTAGTTTTTAACAGTGCCGTTATATGGGGAGTGGGTTTTCATTCGATTTCACCCATTTTCACACTGTCCATATAAGTGCTAAAACGCGAGCTCTCAGTGAATTTGTTATTGCAGCTTTAGCGGTTAATGAGATATGCTATTTTACCTATTAGAAGCGAGACCACGCCCACTTTTTAAAAATATTTAAACTGCAGATGCCACCTAATGGGATTGTATACCATATAACAGTTTTGATTGTGTAGCTTAGTTATGGCAATTTATTTGTTTTTGATTAATGGCGTTTTGTGGGCTTGGCAGTGGTCCGATTATGTCCATCTGCAATACCAACTGTCTTACATTACCAAGAAACATGTGTACCAAGTTTCATAAAGATATTGCAAGACGGACGGAAATACGGACCGACAGTCACCCGACAGTCATTTATATATATTATATATAACCCTATATCTAACTCAATTAGTTTTAGGTGATACAAGCAACCGTGAACAAAACTTTTATACTCTGTAGCAACATGTTGCAAGAGTATAATAAAGAGAAATAACAAACCAAACCTACATATACTTGTATGCATACGTATTATGTCTATGGTACACTTAACAATGTTATTAAAATTTTAAACATTCACTAAAAAGTGATTTTCATATTGCGAATAAATAAACATTTTGGTAAGATGAAATAAAATTTCCTTAATTTTATATTTTATTAAAAGACACAAAACCTGTGAAATAAAAAAATAATAAATAAATAAAAACAAGTAAGGAAGGACTAAGTTCAGATGTAATCGCACATTTTATACTCTGGAGAAGTTAAATGGTATGCTCGTTTAAGATTTCTTTATATATTTTAATAATTATAAGTAGGAACTCTCAGTTATTTACATTCACAATGAAATGAATTAGAGCAATTTATAAACTAAATTTACTCAAATTATGCGAAATAGTTCTTGTGTTTTTCGCTTATAAGTGATTTTTTATAGAATAATTTATTAATTTCTATCATATATTTATACAATAATGTCTTATATACATAATAACAAATTATACATATACTTGTAATTTTAAATTTCTTAATTAGATTATATACATATGTTTCTTAAAATTGCCTTAAAAATTACTGTCAAAATAGCTATACCATTCTAATTCGATTATATTTAAATAAAAATAAAGAGCTATTGCACTAAGTCTGAAAACATTAGTTAGAAATAGAGACACAAATACTGTCATGATAGCTGTGTACTGTCTCCAACGTAATTGCATTAAAATGGGAAGGATCCATGTTTGAAAATGCCCAATCAATTTGTGTACCGGCAGGTGTAGTTGAATATTCTACACCAACAAGTGAACTAAAGTTTCTTTTTGGAGCAGATTTCCTATTGTAGTCCCTGTAGACATTAAACAAATGTTAAAATCTCCAACAATTAACACATTTCAATTGTATAACTCAGAAATAAGGACTTCCTGAAGTTCTAAAATTAAATGTCTGACAGAGAAAGCTGAATTTCTGTATATAACCATAATATTAATATTGAAACATTTACACAAAACTTTGCGGCCTGAATAAATTTTCTTTACAGCCTTTGATTCAATAGGGATAGCAATACTATGCTTTGCATATATTATAATGCCCCGTTTATTTATGTTGCTTGTTTCCGTGCTATCTATCCTCAGCTCGTTAATTGGAGTAAATCCTGGTATATTAAAACTTTCGGAAGGATAACTCCAAGTTTCTACAAAACATAAAATATCTGAAGATAGCAGAAACAGTCGCTTTTTACATCATTAATGTGAGCGTTAATACTCTGAACATTATGAAATAAAATTTGATGATGTTTGATGTTGAAACTTAAGGAAGGAATAAAATTTCCTATGATGAATAGACCTTCTGCAGAAGTAGCTCGACTACAAGCGACATATATTGAAGGCATTTTATGAATAGTTATTCCCTCTGCCGGAACAACTGGAAACTGATTTCTTTCAATTGAAATTTGTTCATTTCTTTTATATTGAAAAGATTTTAGAACTTTTGCAATTGGTGTCCAAGAACTTTATAAAGGATGAGGCTTGTTTGATCGTGCTATCAAACCAACAGAAGATTCCAAAAATTCAATCCACATAATTGTTGGAAAAGAACAATGGAAATCAATTTGCTCAAATTCTCCAGCTGCCCCATTAACCAAGCCATCACACGTGTTTATATTCACTGTAATCATATATTATGCGGAGGCTTTTAGTGTCAGTTCATAGGGCAGTCCCTGCGTTTTAGAAATTTCGAAAAATTTAACTCTTTCCAAAATATTATCATTTTCACTTATACCAATTCCTTTAACTGAGTCTTTTGCAGTTGAAAGGATAGCTTCAGTTGGGATTCGACTGAGTTTAAGGACATTGAAATTAATTGTCTCTTTATTGGACCAAAATAAATGTATGGCATCATCGGGAACTTCCTCGAAATTAACTACTCGAGTTTCAATGAGTGATATGTCCTCATTTGTCATAGTACCAGATGTCAAATGGTTTAATGCAATTGCAAAGGCCTGATCCTCCGGTTGTCTCATTATTTCTGTTAATTCAAAATATTTAAATAACTTCCACTCAGCGGAATCAACTAAAGTGCTGTGTGCATTATTGGGGTTAGGAGAGAATATCCACCTATCTCCACCAGGTGAGAGTTGCTTCAAATCACCAAACACCATGATCGCTATACCACCGAAGGGGCTATCTGTTTTGAAAGTTTGTTTTAATCTCGCATCAACAGAGCTAAACCTACAAGCACCTATCATCGAAATCTCATCAATTATGATGATTTATGTCTGGAATACAATGAATTAACTTTGTTATTGCTAAGTGGCCTCAACTCTCTATTCAACTGATTAACAGGTAAAGAGAATATTGAATGAAGGATCATTCCACCTATTCCGAATGCTGCTTTACCCGTAGGTGCGCAAAGAAGAACTTTTAAGGAACTTGGATTGGATCCAGGTGTAGAATTGTCACGATGGTTAAGAGCTTGATATATTGCAGATATCAAACGACTCTTTCCGACACCTGCACCGCCGTCAATTACCTCATAAAATGGGCGATTTGTTTTTAGGTGGTGCATCAAATGTGTCAAATAGGTTCTTTGCTTAGTATTTAGACTTTTATCTAAAGAAAATAATTCCTCAACTGGAATTAAAGGGAAACTACCCTATAAGTCTAATATTGCAATCAGATTTAGTTCCATTATCTGATTTCATTATAAAGACTTTCTAGAACATTTTCAAGTTCACATTCTTTGTTCATTCCACCATGGATAATATAGCATTACCATTTCGCGGAAATACTCAACTCTGGTCAAATCTGGGTTAAACCTTCTATACAGAAAGGATGTTTACATACATAGAGTTTCTAACTGTGCGGATCTTTGAACATAACGGTATAAAATACCGGCTACGAGTATTTCAGTCGAACCTGAAGGAAGGTTCTGAAGTTCCGCTCTAGGTTTTACCATTCGAACACGTTTAAATCTTAACCATTGCGCTGCAGCACAAGACCTGCAAAAACAGACGGTGCTAGAAAAAATATAGATGTCGCCCTGCTAAGCGAACAATATACTAGCGTTCGGAAAGCACTTGGATTAAAGATATAAGTGGCAAGGCAGCAATATGGTCTTGCAAAGGACATCCTTCACATCGTGCTCCAGAGATGCCCAAAACGGCTTCACATGGGCGATATACATGGAATATATCTTGTAAGTTGCTATCCTCGCCTAGTGCGTCAATATGAGTTCGAAAACTTTCTCCTGCAGCTGCTCTAATGACAAGCAAATCCCCGTTAACAATAGCGGGAGATTTTAATGCCTGGTCTACTGCTTGGGTAGCAGAAGCACAAATCATCGTGGACGATTGGTCTAGAATTCTTGAGTCAAACGAACCTTACAATAATAAACAGTGGCACACAAATACCTTTCAAAGGGCAATAAAGGTTCCGTAATAGACCTAATGTTCGCTAATGACGCGCTTAGCAGGCACATTAAGTGGGGTGTCAGACATATACAACAATAGTGACCACATGGCCATTGCTAAAGTTTTGTTCTCCGAGAAACGGAACCCTCAGTAGAATACCTCTCAAAACGAAGTTGGAGACAAAGGAGTTCGATACCGACGTTTTCGATATCGTCTGGGGTACTGCAGAACCAGCGGCGACGCGCCACTGGTATCCGCTGTGCAGAAGGAACTAGTTGCAGCATGCGAGCAACTATGCGCAGGACGAGATACAATAACAAGCGAAAACCAGTGTACTGGTGGAACGAAGAATCGCCACGCTGAGAAAGCTCTGTCAATCAGCTAGACGTCGCTTCCAGCGTAATCAAGGAGGCGAGAATGAAATCACTCAGAGAAGCATTTAAACGCCAAAAAGCTCCTGAAGTCAGCAATCACTATAGCAAAAGAGGTTGTTTCGAAAAGCTTTGTGAAGAAGCAAACATAGACCCTGGGGAACCGCGTAAAAATGTATGTCAAAATTTAAAATATGCCGCAGCAACCTAAGACGAGCATCATTTATGAGGAAAGTCGTCGACGCATTACCCAACACATGAGACCATGTCCTATGCATATGCGTAACGATGTTACAAGACCCCTCTATCAGTTACCAAGAAGAACTACTGGCCATTGCGAAAATTAAAACTCAAAGCGCCTGGAAAGATGGTATACCAATAGAGCCCTAAAAGAAGCCATGACTCTGAGACCAGTTTGTTCGTTAAAATGTACAATGCGTGTATACTGGAAGGCGTGTTTCCCGACCGTGGAAGGTGCAGCGTCTGGTTCTACTTCCAAACCGAAAGCCACCTGAAGAACCTTCATCATATCGACCTCTGTGCATGCTCGACACGATTGGTAAGTGTACGAAAGCATAGTAAGAAACGCTTGGGTTAGCAATCAAAAAGCCGGCGGATTATCAAGAGACTAACGGCTTTATAAAAGAGGTCACTATTGACGCACTAAGTGAAGTCGTTGATATTGCGAAATGCAATAAGTGGCAAAAGTGGAAAGGTGGCACCAAAGAATATTGCGCGCTAATTACCCTGGATGTGAAGAATGCATTCAATTCTGCGAAATGGGCAAATATCATCAAGGCCTGTACGAAATACGCGCTCCCAATACCTTATAAATATATTATGAGTTATTTTGAGAACAGAAGGCTGCTTTCGACACAGATGAGGGTACCAAGAGCTACTCTATCTCGAGTGGAGTACCACAAGGTTCGGTCTTAGGCCCCTTCTTTGGAACCTGATGTACGACGGGGTGCTAAGACTACATCAACAACAATCCGTGAAACTAATTGCCTATGGGGATGACTCATAGTGGTAGCAGTAGCGAAACATCTAGATGACCTCCGTGTCAATGCAATGATTGCATAAATGGTATACGACGGTGGTTCGCAACCATGAGTCTAGAGTTGGCTGAGCAGAAACAGAGGTCTTGCTCATTAGTCCCAGGAAAATTAAAGAAAACTATCGTCACCATAGAGAATGTCAGATAACTTCACAGCCACAGCTAAAGTATCTTGGCGTTATATTGGACTCAAGGCTAAAATTTAAAGAGCACTGGAAAACAAATAAAATTATAATTCTATCTAGAATGATGGCAAATAGAGGCTGTGTGCGTTCCAGCCGACGATTTCTAATAGCTAAGGCAATGAGATCCGTTACGGTATGCGGCTCCAATATGGATCCAGGCGCTAAGACACAAATCATATGCTAAACCAATAATCACAGTGCATAGGCTTTCTGCAATACGCGTGATAAGTGCTCGAACCGTATCAACCGACGCTGCGGAAGTATTAGCCAGTATGGTGCCCACCGACATCAAGGAAATGAATTCGCGCGCTTTACCAGCTATCGGATATCTCTACAGCAACAAAAAGGAGGAAAGAACCAAGAGCATTACGCTGTGGCAGCAACGGTGGCAAACCTCATCAAGGACGGTGGACTCAGCAGACTGATACCAGACATCAGACCGTGGATAGATAGACAGCATGGGACCTGATTTCCACCTGACCCAAATGCTAAGTGGACATGGGTGCTTTAGAAGCTACCTTTACAACTTCGTCATAACTACAGTCCGTACTGTCCGACGTGTACAGAATGTATTGAAGACTCTGAACATGTTTTTACCATTGCCCTCGGTTCTCCAGTATAAGAGAAAATCTGAAAACCACACTTCGCGGTAGTTTCTCGGTGGAAAATTTGACAGCACTTATGTGTGAGTACTCTATTAAATGGAAAGCAGTCAGCGAAGCGTCAGCTGTGATAATGGAAGATTGAGACACTTACAACAGATTAGGAGTCAGTTAGTCCGTACCGTAGGGGAGATTAAATGTCTTCTTCTCTCCATGAAGTATA